TTGCCAAAGCTTCTGTACCTCTGTAAATCCAATATGACCTTGCTGTACTACGATTTTGGACCAATATATGATCCAGCTCCTTCTTCATCCAGCCATCGTTGTATATCCAGGTTTCCCAATGGATATCCAAGTGCTTGAACCAACTGCCAGTGATGGTCATATTATGTACCATTCCCCCTATGCTTCCAAATCCCTAAGAGCTGGGTACTTTTTCTGAAATGTTGTTTTGTAAAAGGATATTGTCAAATTAAATTTGATGCAAAATTTAAAATAAAATAAAAAATCCAGTGAAATCGTCTGTCTTTCTGTGATGGGTTGGATCACAGAAAACCCCTTGAGGGCTGCCAACTGATGTGCCAAGACTACGTCTGCCCCTGCTTTCTTGCCTGGCAGCTTGGGACTTCAGTGCCCTGCCTGGTTTGAGCCAGACCCACTAGCCTGCTGCAAACCCAGACCCTGGTCTGAACCACGTCCCCTAACAGCTGTAGGCTTAAACTGAAAGCAGCTTAAGAAGTGTTCCTGTCTTTAACACTCAGATGTCCAACTCCCAATGGGGTCCAAACCCCAAATAAATCGATTTTACTCTGTATAAAGCTTATACAGGATAAACTCATAAATTGTTCTCCCTCTATAACACTGATAAAGAGATATGCACAGCTGTTGCACCCCCCCCAGGTATTAATACATACTCTGGGTTAATTAATAAGTAAAAAGTAATTTTATTAAATACAGAAAGTAGGATTTAAGTGGTTCCAAGTAGTAACAGGCAGAAAAAAGTAAATTACCAAACAAAATAAAATAAAACATGCAAGTCTATGTCTAATACAGTAAGAAAACTGAATACAGATAAAACCTCACCCTCAGAGGTGTTCCAGTAAGCTTCCTTTTACAGACTAGTCTCCTTCTAGTCTGGGTCCAGCAATCACTCACACCCCCTGTAGTTACTGTCCTTGGTTCCAGTTTCTTTCAGGTATCCTTGGGGATGGAGAGGCTATCTCTTGAGCCAGCTGAAGACAAAATGGAGGGGTCTTCCAGGGGTTTAAATAGACCTTTTCTTGTAGACCTCCTCTCTCCTATGCAAAGTCCAGCTCCAAGATGGAGTTTTGGAGTCACATGGGCAAGTCACATGTCCCTGCATGACTCAGAACTTACAGTTAGCAGCCATGGTTCACATGCTGCCTTGAACATCCTCAAGTAGACTTCTTATGTGGATTGGAGCCTTCCAAGATCCATTGTCCATTAAGTGCTTCTTGATTGGGCATTTAACTTGCACATTCCTTTCTCAAGAAGCTGACCAAATGCTTTACTAAGGAGATTTAGAAATCAAGCAAGTACACACCAATATTCATAACTTCGAACACAAAAATGATACTTGCATACAAATAGGAGGAGTAGATTCAGCAGATCATAACCTTTACAGAGATATGTTACATGGCATATGTAGCATAAAACATATTCCAGTTATGTCATATATACATTCATAAGTATATTCTCATAAAGCATTATGGGGTGCAACATCATAATTCCCCTGCAGTGCTTTTAACCCCCAAACACTGTAGCACCGTAATCCTCAGCATGAAACGAACTATAAACAAAGGTGAAACCGACTTCATTGATTTTCATTGTCCAAGCTGAGAAATGTACAAAACTCAAAGAGCATAAATAGTGACGAGTAGATTAGACAGTCTAAAATTCTCTCACCTGTTATACTAGACTGTGATATTAGTAAAATAAGTAAAGGAACATGTTTGGTTTTGTAGTGTCATTGTTAAGTGATCATGCCCCTTAACAAAAAAGATTTACCTTTTAAAAACAATTTCTCTAGAACAGCTGTTTCATAGACACGAAGGCCCCAATTCAGCAAAGCATGTAAGCATGTATTAACTTTAAGCAGCTGATTAGTTCCATCCTTATTCGGCAGAGCATGCATTTGAAGTTACGCACATGTGTAAGCATTTTGCTTAATAGAGACAAAGTGCTTTTCTGAATTGGTCCCCAAATGCTGCCTATGCTATTGCCAGTAACCCTGCTTTCACAAAGCACTAGTGTGCAAAAGCAGACGCTCTGGACAGTAGCACGTAGCAAGGTTCTATTTTAGGCAATGAAGCATCTGCTTGCCTAGATGATATCTTTTCCTAGGATGACAAAGGTCCTCTCAGCTTCTTGTTCATGAATTAGGAGAAAAGCATGACATGAAAGCAAACAGGATGTTTCCAATAATTAACTAATGAAGCTATAGCAAAATCAATTACTCCTGGAAGAGCAAATCCTGCTTCCTTGACTCAGGCAAGTCCCTACTCTGTCCTCATTGCAAGTACTTGTGTGAGTAAGGCCAATGGGATTCAGCCCTACTAGGCATTTCCACAGAAAATGGAATTTTCTTGTCTGCATCTTGGACCTGTGCTGTCTAAACAATTATTTTTGATGTTCTCTCTTTAAAGCTGTATCCTGTGGTAGTCCAGTTATTCCAGAAAATGGTGCCATTGAGGGCTCAAATTTTACTTATGGCAAGAAGTTGCTGTACAGGTAGGAGAGTCGTTGTGTTTGGAGCAGTACTGTACTCAGAATCTGGAAGCAAATGAGAAAAACAACAACTGGATTTAATAAGAGAGTAATTGACTCCACAAAAGGTGGAGGAAAGTAAAGGAACAATGAACAGAATCCACCCCAAAACTCACCCATTAATCCTTTCCAGGGGTTCACAACTTATACAATACTAGGTTGCATTTATTTTAATACACAGAGTAGAAAATGAATATTGCGGAGTACTGTATCTGGACAATCATTCTGTAGTTAGTATATAATGTTTTACTTATTCCACATAGTGGGCTGTGTATTAACAAAGCCCTTGAAATAATGCTAGTATTGTATAGTGGGCCTATTAATCTCTCCCCATTCATCACCCCAGAAACCCAGGTACCCCAGTATCATCCTGTATTATTATTTGTATATGTATTGAGGTAGCACCTGTGAGCCCTAGTCACAGACCTAGACCTCATTGCTCTAGGTGCAGTACAAACACAGAACAAAAATAGGGCCCTACCTCAAAGTGCTTATTGTCTAAGTATAAGACGAAAATCAACAGGTGGATACAGACAAACAGATGGGAGAGCAAGAGGAAACAATGAGACAATACTAGCCAGCATGGTAGGCTGTGGTCTCAGCATACTAGCTGCCTAATGATTGCCAAGTATTTTGTAGACATCATGTCAAGGAAGAGTTTAAGAGGTCTTTGAATGGCCAGGATATCACCGAAGTCACTGCAGAGTAGGAAATGTTATGTTTTTAATGGTGTTCACTGTGCACACTGTAAAAGACCACATAAATACTAACCAGGCCTGTGGAATAGTCCCTTTTGCTTTGCAAATCTGGGTACAAAACCAACATTTTTTGTGAAAATTTGGCAAATTGGGCCCATGAAAATTTTTCCTATTTTCTCCGAGAAACAGCTTTTTTTAGTGAAATCTCTTTGGCATTTCTACAAACGCTGAATAAAATATTCAGCATTAGCTCAAATACTAGTCCATCCATACTGTCTCCTGGGATATGGAGTTATACTCCATCCTTCCACCCACTGGCCAGAACGATGGTGAAGGGACTTGAGGACACATCCACAACATAGGGGCTAGTTAAAGACTGAAGCCACAATGTCCCTCTGTGTTTTTGTCCTTTGCATTCTATTCAGGCATGAGCCTACAAGACCTAACAGACCTAGGATCAATGTTTCAAAAGAGGCTAGGCGACTTAGGAGTCTAAGTCCTATTTTGAAAAATGAGCTGAGCACTTCAGAGCCTAAGTCTCATTGGAAACGTATGGGACTTAGGTGCCTCAGTGTCTCAGTCACTTTTGTAAATGGGACTTGGGCTCCTAAATCACTTAGGTGCTTTTGAAAATTTGATCCCTAGGAATCACATAGATTTTTACTGGGATGAGGGAGCGTTTCCTTAGCGAATCCTGTGCACTTAGTAATATATATGGGTGGGAGGGAGGAAAGGGATGCTTGGGGAGAATCCAATAAAAACAAGATGTCTGTATTTTATAGTGATTTTCTTCTTTTAATGCAGATGTAACAAAGGATACAATCTGATGGGTGAAAAGGAAACATCATGCCTTGCTAGTGGTGCTTGGAATCATGCTCCTCCTGCCTGTGAAATAGTAACATGTCCGAGCCCACAGGACATAAACAATGGAAAATACACACTGAGTGGCATGACATACCTTTCTACTGCATCATATACATGTAACAGTGGATACAGGTAAAAGCTGTTGAGTCAAGTCACAGGCACTCTTAAGTGCTGTGAAGATGCTGATGAAACATAAAGACTTGCTGGAATGGCTAATTCATGTCTGATGTAGAGAGTGTCAGAGGAACACAATAGATTTAAGGATTTTTTTCATCTTTGAGGTACTTTCTGTGTTTCACACAAAATGCCAACGCTTGTGGGAAGCTCATGTAGCATCAGTCATCTTATTAATGTTTAATTCATTCTCTTTATCACCAAGCTGTAAAGCACATTTCAAACATATGGAAATTAACCCAATATCAGAACCATATTTAAAAGTTCTTCTTTACACCTGAAAGGCTGCAGTACACTTAATTAGCTTTTAATGTTTATGCAAAATTATTTTTATTATTACTTTGCATTGATCTTTAAATGCCAGCTAGAAATGGTCTTCTGTAAATTAAAGTGACCATTCTAGCCATTCTAATGAATGAATAAAATCCGTAAAATAGTGATTCATTTTAAGCTTGGGTTTTCATTTTACATTTGTGGATTGAGTCTGGTGTAAACAGATTTTTAGCAGACAATTAAAAATGAATAAACCCCATTATATTAAAAGAAATAGCTTTAATCATGTTACCTACTGTGCAAATTAAAAAATCCTTAACATTATCTATATCTGTTGCAAACACACACCTATACTGACATAGATACATACTCTGGGCCTAATTCTCCTCTGCCATTCATCTTGTGCAATTATTCGCATCTGTCCAAATAAGCGCAAACAGGTGTGAAATGATAACACTGGAGTACGTGAATGGAGGATTCTGATTTAGTAGTGTTTTTACACATACTTTGTGCTCACTTTCAATTGGTGTAAATGACTACTTAAACTACAAGGCAGGGTAGAATCGGGCCCTATAGCTACAGTACGGGCTCAATCGTGCACTCCTAACTTGGGCATAATTCCTACTAAAGTAAATGGAAGCTTTGTCTATGACTGCAGAATTAGGCCAACCAGACAATATATATCATATAGATCATGGCTTCTTTTATAGATAGAAATCTATTACATGAAAATTACAGTTAATATATAGTGTTGTTTCACAAATACCAGTTCCATCAATGTATTTTGAAGGCTCTTTTGTATAGTATGGGTGATTTATTTTTTTAATTCCTGCATGAAAGCCTAAATAATTTAGCTTTTTGTGGCCATCCAGCCTGGATGTTTGGGAGATGAACTCCACCATCCCCTTTTGTAGTCACCACTCCAGCCAGTGACCCTCCACACCACGCCCCTATGCTGGGTGTCATGGCATCTGTACAAGCACGGATCCAGTCCCTTCTGTCGTCCACCCCACATGCTCTTTTTCACACCGGCATGTTCCAAGCCTGAGCAGAGCCCACCTCTTTGGCAGTGCCACACACCTTATGTGCAACGGTTCAGCACTGGAGATGGCCTTTCACCGGAGAATTATACTATGCCTGAATAACACTGTGCCATTTTGTGCATATCCCTTGGTGTTACTATAGCTAAGGAAACCAAAAGATCAGCTAACTTTTAATATCTTAGGCCTTTCCTCAGCCAGCAAAAACCTTTAACATCCTACAGGGAATGAATGGCTTTTTGAAAAATAATCTAAATATCAACATGTTCCTTAGTCTTTTGGGTGAATCAAGTTTCAGATTTCTGCAGATGCAGATTGTGGTGGTATATAAATAAATAACCTAATTCAAACACTGATGGCCCAATCTTGCAGTCCACAGGTGGGCAGAACTTCCATTTGCTTCAGTGGGAGTTTTATATGCGTCAGTAGAGCAATCCAGACCAGAACGGACTCTCAGCTTTCTCCTCTAGTAGTTCTGATCACCTGCTGTTCTGACAAATTTCAGAGTTGTAGCCGTGTTAGTCTGTATCAGCAAAAACAACCAGGAGTACTTGTGGCACCTTAGAAACTAACAGATTTATTTGGGCATAAGCTTTCGTGGGCTAAAACCCACTTCATCAGATGCATGGAATGGAAAATACAGTAGGAAGATATATATACATACATAGAACTGGAATTAATTTGCAAACTGGACACCATCAGATTAGGCCTGAATAAAGACTGGGAGTGGATGAGTCACTACAAGAACTGAACTAATTTCCCATGCTAATTCCCCCCTACTGTTACTCACACCTTCTTGTCAACTGTTTGAAATGGGCCATCCTGATTACCACTATAAAAGTGATTTTCCCTCCTGTTGATGATAGCCCACCTTAATTGAATTGTCTCGTTAGAATTGGTAAGGCAACTGCCATCTTTTCATGTACTATGTATATATATCTTCCTACTGTATTTTCCGTTCCATGCATCTGATGAAGTGGGTTTTAGCCCACGAAAGCTTATGCCCCAATAAATTTGTTAGTCTCTAAGGTGCCACAAGTACGCCTCATTTTTGTTCTGACAAGGTTAGCCGTATATTTTGTGAACAGAGGGTAAAATCCTGGCCCCAATTAAGTTAATGGCAAATTTCCCCATGACTTCACTGGGGCTAGGATTACAGCTAGAAGGTATTTGAAGGAGCTCCCGGCTTCTGTCCCCACCCCCATACAAACTGCAGTTACACATTAATAATAACCTTTAATTCTCTTAGCCTACAGGGTCCCCCAGTACTTGTGTGTGAAGCTTCAGCTAACTGGAACAGCATACCACCAGTCTGCAAAATTGTCTCTTGTGGATCCCCTCCTGCCATCAAAGATGCTGTGATCAGTGGGAATAACTTTACTTTTGGCAACACAGTCACTTATACGTGTAAGGAAGGGTATGTACATTAGCACTATTAGAATAAAACCCACAATGAGTAAACATTGTCAAGCCACACAGCAGCTCACTCGCTGTAAGGCTAGGTCCTAATGCGATTCTTTGAGGTCACATGCTCTTAAGAACATGGCTGTGTTATTAATGCTCATTAATTAATTCTTGGTTCGGTTGTAACTAGCTAGAAATGAAAGGTGATTGACAGTTTTTGTGAAGTGGAAAGTTGGTATGTGTCAATACTAGCCCATTTGTCAGGTTGCAGAAGCCGGCTAGAGTTAGGTGGGATACAGACTTGAATGGGAGCGCTACAGGGAAATCCAGTTGCTGAAGGCAGTAATACTGGTAATTCAATTGGAGCCCCTTTCCCTCTAGTCACTGTTGAAACAGTGTGTGATGCTGGCAGTGCCATATTTGAGAGGAGACATATTGTAAAATCAAGGATCCTATGGCTCTTTTCACTAGAGTAATAATAAAATAAAGAGTGACTATTTCATCAGTAGATCGCTAAGCACTTCACAACCTTTGACTGTGTTTATCCTCACGACACCCCTGGGAGTCAGGGCAGTGCTATTATCCCCATTTTACAGCTGGGGAACTGAGGCTCAGAGATGCAAAGTGACTTGTCCAAAGTCGCACAGGAAGTCCATGGTGGAGTAGGGAAGTGTACTCATGTCTCCCACATCCTTGGCTGTGCCCTAACCACTGGACAGCCTTCCTCCCACTGGCGAGCAGGGATATTAATCCAGGTGTAAAGTCCAGATTCTAATTTGGGTGAATTACATTCCATCTTCATGAACATCTCTCTGCAGTTTCAGCTATGCAGTGTCCTTCTTCATTTTCTGTCTATGTAGTATTTCTGTGCATTTCTAAATATATGCCATAGTTCATCCCAGAGGAGGTTGCAAAGTCCTGCAAAGACTTTCTCGCACGTGCTTAATTTTACACACTGTGAGTAGTCCTGTTGAAGTCATTAGAGCTACTCAGTGCATAAAGTTAAGCACACACATTAAGTCTTTGCAAGGTCAGGGTCTAAGTTCATAGAGCATTTTGTTTTCCTTCTTGATGAAAGGAACAAAATAAATGTATAATCATTCTCCTTCCAAGCTGAAATCTTCAACATTGTATCTGATATAATTACATTAAATTCTTCATTTTCTTTTTCTTAAAATGCTTTGTTTTTTATGGTACAAGTATTTTAAACAGGTCGGCTTAAAAGCATTTGGAGAAAACAACTGTCACCTCTATGATAATGAATATAATGATGGGTCATATTAAAAACTGGCACTTCTATGTGCTTTTTTTCCCTGGAATCCCAGCCAACAGTGTCTGAAAATAAATACTGCAGACAAGTCAAAGTACTTTTACAGATGTGGCCAACAAAATCTAAACAGTCACTTTCCAACCCTCAGCTGCAAAGATTCATCAGAGACTTTCACAGTGGGTTATTGTTCATCCTCTTTTTGTTTGAACACACCACAGAAAATGTAAGACTTTAAATAAACTCACAGACAACACATTTTGTGTTTAAACAACTGCAGTTTAAGTGGGACAATTGGCAGCATGAAGTGCCGCTTATGATCAAATGCCAGAGACTGATTAGCTAAATATAATATTATCCACTGACTACATGTTAAAATTGCAGTATTTGTGAAAGATTAGAAACAAATTACATGTCATACTGAATTTTAAAAGTATTTCTTGTTATATATGTTGGTGGTTTCTTATGGAAGAGTCATTACCAAATGACAATATTCCCATTAACAACAATATTTTTAGCTAACTAGCTTAGGATTTTGTGCTGATACCTATTTCCATAGTATCTGAGTATTTCATAGGTCAATTAGATTGGCATAGCAAGAACCCCACTGGATTTCATAGAGCCTTCAACTCTTCTTCCTTCTCTAGTTATAAGAAGCTCTGCTTTCGGTAGAAGTTTTTGGTTTGTTTCCATTTGGTGGGGAAGGTTGATTGTTATCGTAAATGTGGTTCTGATTGTGGTGGAAAAGCTTTACCAAAAGGTAAAGTCTTGCTGTGTGTCCGGATAGCCAGACTACCTATTTCTCCATAGATAATAGGTTTTTCTATAGCAGCCCTTGGTGTAGTATCTAAGCAGTAAACAGTCACACTAGAGTTGCGACTATTGTCTAAACTGGACCCTTCCCAGCTCTAGGAAGCTCTTCTTGTAGAGTTTTCCAGGGCATGTGGGGTGGCTTAACCCTTCAGTTATCAATCTAACTCCATATGTTGTTGGTCTTTTCCTGATCCACAGCTACACATTAATTGGCCCTGACACCGTAGAATGCTTAGCCAGTGGTGAGTGGAGCATGAGTCACCAGCAGTGCCTGGCGGTTTCCTGTGATGAACCTCCCCATGTGGAACATGCTTCCCCAGAGAGCGCCCATCGGTTGTTTGGCGATATAGCTTATTACTACTGCTCAGATGGCTACAGCTTGGAGGACAATTCCAAGCTGTTTTGCAATGCTCAAGGGAAGTGGGTGCCTCCTGCTGGCATGAAGATGCCCCACTGCATCGCTGATTTTTGTGAGAGGCCGCCCACAGTGTCGTACGCCATCCTGGAATCAGTTAATAAAGTAAAGTTTCCTGCTGGTTCAGCCGTGAGCTTCAAGTGTATGGAAGGTTTTGTCCTAAACACGTCTGCTAAGATTGAGTGCAACAGAGGTGGTCAGTGGACTCCTTCTCCTTTGACTATCCAATGCATCCCGGTTCGCTGTGGGGAACCACCGAGTATTAGAAATGGCTATGCGAGTGGAGCCAACTACAGTTTTGGAGCAGTGGTGGCTTACAGCTGCAACAAAGGGTTCTATATCAAAGGAGAAAAGAAAAGGACATGTGAGGCCACAGGAGACTGGAGTGGTAACCTACCTACCTGCCATCCGGTGTCTTGTGGAGAACCACCCAAGCTTGAAAACGGAGTCATTGAGGTATGATAAGGGTTTTCTAAGCTGCTCTCTGCGCTGGTAAAGTTGAGGTGTCTTAAAGATTCCCACCGGCTAGCCCACTAAAGTTGAAGTAGGATGCAAGCAGAACTGATAAGCAAAGGAATGATGGGGATGGCCTTGTATCAGAATTAGGCTTTTCAAAAACACAAGCCTATTAACAGAATTTCCTATTATGAACAAGGATTTGATGTAGGAGACGCAGAGTTCCTATGACATTCAAAAGAACACTCTACCAATTGGTTTTCCTAATGTCTCGCTACATATTTGTCCTCTCCAGTCTGTGGGCCAATTCCCACTGCTCCCAGGTGCTACAGCTAGCTCAGAAACCTTGCTCTTTTTGTTCTTACTACCAGAAACATCTGATTTGAAATAAACAGATAACTCTGGGATGAATCCTTCCTTTTGGATGCGCACACAGCTCCCGCTGAGGGTAGAATTTGGCCTATCAAATTAAATTGAAATAAATAAAAGCTAGAAGTCAATAACCTCATCAGAGCTAAAAGGTGTAATGAACGTAGCTTTACTCTTATTGCTGGATGGGTGTTCTACTCCGACGTACAAAGAAATGTTTTCATGTTAAACTTCATGGGATATGGGGGGAGAGGCGAGATCAAATTTATTTTTTATTTTAAAGATCTAGCTTCAATTAGAATTGAGGCTGGAGGGGGAACAAACATCCTCTCTCGAGGGTGAGGCTGCAGTAATAACTTATAGGAAGAGTGGGAAGGATGCATCTCAGAAATCAAGATTCTAAGAGTGAAACCAAACATGAACCTGCCTTTTACCACTGAACTAGGGTTGTAACACAGTGGCCCCCATGTAATTAGGTTGATAATGGTAAGACAGTTCCACTAGGAGAAGCTGAGAGCGCATAATGTACCTAGAACCATTTTAACTGCTTCCTTAAGGGAACAAACTCGTCTTATTATAATTACTTTCTCTTATGAAGGCCAGTTATAGAGAGTGGTTAAATCAGCTGAAAAAAATGAAACTCCCTCACTAGTGCATTCTTATTTCAGTTTGCTCAATTATTATTATATATTATCATGAATACTGTTTTCCACTGTGATAAGTATGCATTGTTCCTATAAAGTTTTCTTCGCTGTAGAGATAGAACACCTGAGATTGCAAGTACAATACTGCAGAGGTTCTCAAACTGTGTTTATTATTGTTATTATTTTATCCAAAGCGCTTTACAATAGTTAGCTAACGGTACAAACAACATTTGGAAAGATCATTAAGTGGTCCGCCGAGACCCTCAGCAATTTTCAAGTGGTCTGCGGGAAAAAAAGTTTGAGAACCACTGCTGTACACTGGATAAAGCTTTAAATTAAAGAGCCATGTCATTTGCAGAGGTCTCCTCTGCCTACTTCCAGCCTTCTGTTGCTCTTCTCCCTTTTCATGTACAGATTTTTTTTGCATGTGTGTCCAGGAAAACATTTTCTAGCTTTAAATTTTGAACATTAAGCTTTAAAACTTTTTAATGTTTCATTCAGTGCAACTCTATTGACCTCAGCGGGTGCAAGTCAAGGCAGAACTTGTCCGCTATATTGCTAGTGCAAACGTTTATTTCTTTGCAATCAATCCTTGTGTCTGGTTAGCAATTAGATACAGAAAGACGAATCAAATCAAAATTCATCTGCCAGGGTCAAGAGTTTTTACCTTCTACTTACCATTTGTCTCACCCATTTTACAGAGCACGACTGGCCGTTTCTTTGAGAATGAAGTGTACTACCAATGTAATGCTGGCTACAAGCTAGTTGGAAGTTCAGTATCAGTCTGCCAAGCAAATCGTCAGTGGCATAGTGAATCGCCACCTTCTTGTGTTCCTCTCAGTTGTGGCAAACCACCTCCTATCCAGCACGGATATGCAAAGGGAGAAAGCTTTGATGTGGGATCCAAGGTTGAGTTTTTCTGCAATGAGGGCTATGAGCTGATGGGAGATGCCTCTTGGACATGCCAGAAGTCTGGGAAGTGGAGCAAAAAGCAAAGCCAAAAGTGTGTGCCAACAAAGTGCCCAGAACCACCACTGATTGAAAATCAGCTCGTCTTGAAAGAGATGGTTCACCAAGTAGGTGTTGTACAGTTTTCCTGCAAAGAGGGTTATGTCTTGCATGGTTCCTCGGTGCTGAAATGTTTGCCGTCACAACAGTGGAATGATTCCTTTCCAGTCTGCAAGGTTGTACTGTGCCATGGGCCTCCATACATTCCCTTTGGTGACCCTGTGGCATCATCTCTTCATTTTGGTAGCACCGTGACGTACACCTGCATGGATGGGTTTTTACTGAAGGGAGAATCTACAATTGGATGCCAAGCGGATGGCTCCTGGAGCTTTCCATTGCCAGAATGTATTCCAGTAGAATGCCCCCAGCCTGAAGAAATTCAGAATGGCATTGTAGATGTGCAGGGTCTTACTTACCTCAGCACAGCACTGTACACTTGTAAACCGGGCTTTGAATTACTGGGGAACACAACTATTCTCTGTGGAGAAGATGGTCATTGGCTCGGTGGAAAGCCAGCTTGCAAGCCTGTTGAATGCCCAGAACCTAAGGAGATTCAGAATGGCAAATATTCAGACACACACTTTCATTATGGGCAGACTGTTACGTATTCATGTGACAGAGGATTCCAGCTCAAAGGGCTGAATGTACTGAGCTGCCTAGAGACAGGAGAGTGGGACGCAGATGTTCCGTCTTGCAAAGCCATAAACTGTGACCCCCCTCGGCCCATCGAGAATGGTTTTGTGGAAGGTGCAGATTACAGCTATGGGGCTATGATCATCTATAGCTGCTTTCCAGGTTTCCAGCTGGCTGGTCTTGCCATGCAGACTTGTGAAGAGTTGGGATGGTCTAGCTTTACTCCGGCATGCCTACCAACAGACTGTGGCCTGCCTCCCCATATTGACTTTGGGGAATATGTGCAGGTTAGAAGTGAAGAAGGACATTTTGCCCAAGAAAGAATACATCTTACTGAGAGCCCTCCTCTTTCTGACACGTTAGTTGTTAGTAGCTGGAAAGATATAAAAAGTCCTTTGAAGGAAACTAATGCAGTACAGTTGACAAACTTTTTATATGGAACCATAGTTATGTACACGTGCTACGCTGGTTATGAGCTATTAGGAAACCCCATACTAGCTTGCCAAGAGGATGGGACGTGGAATGGCAGTGCCCCTGTCTGCATATCAATAGAGTGTGACTTACTCTCACCCCTAGAGAATGGCTTTTTACATTTTACCGAGAATACACTTGGTAGCGTAGTGCAATATGCCTGTAAAACAGGGTATAAGCTAATTGGTTCTGACACAAGGCTGTGTTTGCCTAACCGACAGTGGAGTAATGCTGCTCCATATTGCCAGGTGGTATCCTGTACCACACCTAACAAACTCATGAATGGAAACATAAAGGGAGAAAACTATACTTACAGGAGTGTGGTCCATTATGAATGTGATCCTGGGTACCAGTTAAATGGCTCAGATAAGAGGACATGCCAGGATAACCAAAAATGGGATGGGAATGAGCCTATTTGCATCCCCGTTTCTTGTGGCCAACCACCAGTTTTAGAAAATGGCCACGTGATTGGAGACGAATACACATTCCAGAAACACATGGACTACAGCTGTAATGAAGGTTTCCAGCTGCATGGGGACAGGAGTAGAGTCTGCCTTGCAAATGGAAGCTGGAGTGGAATCACTCCAGTTTGTAAATCCGTCAGGTGCGCAGTACCACTACCTCTTCCCAATGGAGAAATTATTGGATCCGAATATGGCGTTGGGAAGGAAGTTCAGTATCGCTGCAGTGAGGGCTACATATTGCATGGAGCATCCATACTTACCTGTCAAGCTGATGGCACCTGGGATACAGAGGCTCCGTACTGTGAGCCAGTCAATTGCGGACCCCCAGAAGACATCTCTCATGGCTTCCTGAATAGTTCAGGCTTCAGTTATGGGGAATACACACAGTATGTGTGCTTTCCCGGTTATGAGTTACGTGGAAATCCACTGCGGCAGTGTTTGTCCAACGGCTCATGGGGCGGGAGCCTCCCCTCTTGCCTCCCCTGTGAATGCCCCACGCCACTGATTCAGAACGGGGTTGTTATCGGGCAAGATTTCCGCTGCGGGAAAAGTGCACGATTTCAGTGCCTGGAGGGCTTTAAACTGCTAGGGCCTTCTGAACTCTCCTGTGAGGCAGCCGGCAAATGGAGTTCTGCTTTTCCACACTGCGGACGGATTTCATGTGGCTCCCCACCAACAATCCCCAGTGCCTTTATCAGTGGAAGCAGCTCTGTGGATGAGAACACTGTAATATATAACTGCAGAACTGGCTTTGTCATACAAGGGAGGCCAGAGCTGACTTGTACAGATACGGGCGTTTGGAGTGAGCCGTATCCACGCTGCGAGCTGATGTCCTGTGGACCCCCACCTTCCGTTCCTAATGCAGTGGCTGTCGGCGAGGCCCACACCTATGGAAGCAGAGTCCAGTACAGGTAAGAAGGCTGCTGTAATTACATCTCCCTGAAATGTCAAAGGAATGAACATAGGACCTTTAAAGCAAATGAATACATTCAATTCGTGAGAGGCTATAAAATACATAGAAAAGCTGTGGAGCAGACCTCACGAGGAGGTTGACACACATTCTTGGGGCTCCCGCTGCCATGTAACGCCTCACTCCAGCCTCATAATTGACCCACAAACTCTCAGCATGTCATGCATTTAAGCCATGGAGAGTGCACAGTATACGTTAATATTACTGAGGTTGTGGTAAAGAATTTGTGTTACAGTTCCAGGTATGTGTGTGTCTGTGTTTCTATGAAGCTGAAGTGACTGTATTAGCGAGGAGTGGATTCTATCAGTGAGAGTGGCTAAAATGAGGGAGGGATGGGTGGGAGGGACAGCATGTAAATGAAGGTACCTGAACAGGTGACTTCCCTGCTTGTAAGGGTTTGGGTGGATGGATTTTCACTTCAGCACACTTAACTGGTGTGTGTATGTTTGTGTGCATACAAACAAACCCCATGGAGGGCCAAATTCTCCAGTCCAATTGAATTGCACTCAATGCAGGATTGTGTGGGGCAAAGCAAATATGTCTTTAGGTTACCTTTGCTTTCTCCCAGTCTTGGGGTCTGCCTGGGATTTGTCCAATCCTTGGTGCAAGCAAGAGCAGCCCTCAGGTTGCCAACAGCCCCCAGGGGCAGATCCAGCAACTGGCAATCCCCAGAACATAACACTGTGACCATACCCCTTTCACCCAGCCATACCCTCTCTGCCCAAACCACAGGAGCTGCTACTGTGTCTTTACATCACATGGGGATTCTCCTAGGCACAAGGAATCACCAGCGTGATGAATCCACCCTGTTTACTCTGTGCTGCTGGAGCAGGGGGACGCAGCCAGGGATGGACTCAGTTCAAACTCCTGCCACCAGATTTATAAACACACAGCAAAAATGCCTCAACCCTCTCTCAGCAGGTTGCTGAACTGATACAGAAATCTAGAGGCGCTGCTCATAAGAAACAAACATTGACAATTGAGCCACATGGTAGGTTTTGTACCTTGAGGATTAGAACATCGTACGCGTGTGTACCAATGATTCTGATGCATTGCAGATGTCTGGAGGGCTACGTGATGGAAACAGAAATGGATACATGCACTTGTCAGGAAGACGGACACTGGTCTCCTAAGAGCATTTCCTGTTGCCTCAGAAAATGTCCCGTGCCCACAAATCTAACCAATGTAATTATTTCTGGTGATGAGTTTACTGTGAATAAGAGCATCACTTTATCATGCTCAGAAGGCTACACTTTGTCAGGAGCAAGCACATCTACATGCCAGGTAAAGAGCGTTGGCCTTTTCTTTTTTTAAAGGTGCAGATCACTATCCTTGGAGGTGTGCACTCATCTGTGGGTAGAAGGTGGCCCTGCTTCCTGATTGTACACAATACAGGTGTAATGCACTGTAAAATATACAGCAGGTCCTGCTCCTCCCTTAAGAAAAAAACACAGGCTTCCAGATTTGGGAAACAGTCCTCTCCTCTTACTACTTAACCATAATACTGAACTGTGACTAAATGTTCTTTTTCACTCACTTTATTCTGTTTTAACTCTTAATTCTGTTTCAGCTCCCACTGAAATTAATGGGGATCATGCATCTTAATCCCTTGACACCTTTAAAAACCTCAGGCCTGGTATTTGTAAAAAACAAACCTCTTCAGCTATGTGGCCAATAATACCTCAGGCCTCGATCCTGCAAGTATCTACCCATCTGTTTAACTTCAGGCTTGGGAGTAGACCCATTAGAGACAGGGAGACTACTCACGTGAGCCAAATTCAGCATGGGAATGTGCGTGTGTAAGATCAGGGCCTTCCAGAGTTAAAACTGGAAGAATTTATAAACTCTCCCTGCTTGTGCTATTTTTTGTATTTCTGTTGAGTCAGTTTGCAGGGGTCTGTTTGCTCCTGCTTTCCATCCCACAACAGACAAAAACTTAACATAAAAATGTAAACGGGTGAGAAAAACAATTCTACTCCCCTCTGTTTGCTGAACAGTTCTTTGGGTGTTTGGATGCATAGCTGAAGCTGTTGACTGATACATTGGAGAGGCAACATTGTTGTCTAGGGGTTAGAGTATTGGCTTAGGAGTCTACAGGCTGGGCTCTATTCCAGGTTCGGTCACTGATCTGCTGTGCGACTTTGAGCAATTCTTTTCACACCTCTCTGAGCTTCTGTTTCCCCTTCTGCCCTTTCTCTGTAAGCGCCTCTATGCGAGTGTGCAAAGCTCGCACAATGGGTCCCCAGTCTAGGTTGGGGCCTCTGAATGTTACATTACTGCAAATAATAATAAATGAGAATTATTGCCCATCTCTGTACTGGTAAAGCTCTCTCCCACATGTTTTCTGATGTTCTTATTTAATAGTTATTTCTCTTGCTTTTTAGCACAATGGCAGCTGGGTGCCATCATTTTCTGATGATATCTGTGTTCCTGTGTCTTGTGGGAAACCAGAAACCCCAGAACATGGAACTGTGCTTGGTGCTAGTTACAGCTACAAGAATGCGGTTCTTTATCAATGCAATGCTGGCTATGAATTACAAGTAAGTCAACTGAATCCACAGTATATGTACCAATACTATTAAGATTAACCCTTGTATTATCATCTTTATTGTTCTTGCTTATCCTCTTTGTTTAGTAGAATGTATTAACTTCTGCTGAACATTTATGCCTTTTTCTTGCTGTTGCTACTGCCTATAGAATGATGCACATATAGATGGGGCTGTACAAAACACTACAAAAGACCACTACCCTTTCTTGACCAGGTTGCAATTCAGATAAATATAAAATACAGGTCAGCAATTCATATGCAAAAAGTGGGTGGAGGGAGGGAAGAGATTTGTAAGAAGAGAAGGTGGTTTGGGCCCTTAGCAAATGCAGCTCTTTTTTTTAAATCAGTGGATTCTATTAAAGTGTTGCAAAGAGAAACCAGAACGGAGAGTTACTGTCTCACCCTTTGATCTACTGAATGTAAGCATAGACTTATTTCCCAGATTCCTCAACCCCAGCTCAGTTCAGCACTCCTGCTATGACTCCACGGTTCCCTCAGTGTACCTTCCACCTGACTATCTCAAAGCACTTCACAAACGTTAGTGATCTCAGCCTCAGATAGTCCTGGGATGTAGATAAATAGTATCTCGGTTTTACAGATAAGGAAACCAAGACAAAGACGTTGCAGCAGCTTGCTTAGATTTACTTCGGGGCAGGGCAGGGAGCACAGTCCAGTGCTCCTGGCTCTGTCCTTTATAATTAGCCCATACTGTCTTAACAAAGTAACAGTTAGTGAGAAAATAATAGCAAGTCATAACCTATCACAAGTTAGAAAACTTACATCTTTCTGATTTTTCCATAAATTATGAAAAGTGGCCTTTTAACCTTGTCAGATCCTGCACTGAGCCTGGGAGGTATTGTGGTGGTATTGTGAGGAACAGGGATGGTAAGGTAGGGAACAGTTCTGAAACAGAAAATACTTAGATTGTGAACTTTGTGAGGCAGTGACCTTTTCGTTGCTCTGTGTTTGTACAGCGCCTAGCACAGAGGGGTCCTGGTCCTAGGCTTTACTGCAATGCAAAAAAGAATAATGAAAATAATACAGTATTTAAATCAGCCTGCTAGGACTCAATCCTGCAAGGTGCTGAACATTCTGGTCCTTCCCCAGGCAAATATTTATGCACATGTTTTACTTTAAGGATGTAAATAGTCTCATTGATC